AGAACAAAAACAAAAAGGGGGCCGAAACTTATGAAACACCCTTTATTTATTTATTTTTCTTATTTTTTAGATATAACGATTCAATGTTATATTTTTTTTTAGTCCGTTTATGAAAATTTAGGTGATTCAAAGAATTGAAGGTATTGTGTTTATTTTTTAAATCTTTCTTTTTTTTATCTAATTTTGCTTGTTGGCTTATACATATTATTTCTGCTACTACTAGAATATTTATTTATTTTTTCTTATTTTTTAGGTATAACTATTCAATGTTATATATTTTTAAATCGATTTATGGAAATTTAGCTGACTGAAACAATTGAAGGTATTGTGTTTATGTTTTAAATTTTCCTTTTTTTTCTATCTAATTTTGTTTGCTAGTTTATAAATATTATTTCTGCTGCTACTAGAATACTTATTTATTTTTTCTTATTTTTTAGGTATAATTATTCAATGTTATATTTTTTTTTTAATTGATTTATGGAAATTTAACTGATTGAAACAATTGAAGGTATTGTGTTTATGCTTTAAATTTTGCTTTTTCTTTTATCTAATTTTGCTTGCTAGTTTATAAATATTATTTCTGCTGGTACCAGAATATTTTGTATATTTTAGGAAGACAATTGTAGTTGTATAAGCCATATGAATTATGTCAAAAAGTAATTCAAATGAAGATGAATATGAAGAAAAGCAAATTTATAGTAAGTTCAAGTGTAAAACTTCGGAAAAGTCAATTATAATTATTTTTTGTCTGAAAATATCTTATCTGTATTATAACACAGAATATATTTTTTATCCAACTTTTTGTTTTAGAACGTTTATGCAACAAGCAGCGTCAAGCTAAAAGAAGAGCTAGACTTTCAAATTTATGTTCGACAACTGATATTGATTTTAATGATTTATCATCGATTACGTCTGTAGAAGGTGAATTTTTTACCCTCATTGTTCTATTTTTTGTCTGATATATCTTCGTGCGTAGATTTTTCTGATTTTGAAGACAGAAAATATGAATCAAGATTTGTTTGATCCTTTATCTGATACGGTGGTTCAAGGTGAGTTGCATTTCTATAACATCGACCTTCGTTTATTATTTTTCAGTTTATAGACTCTATTTTCATAGAAAATGATGAATCGAACAGAAACGAAATCCACAAAGATGATTTTTATTACGGTAAGATTTTTAATAATCTATTACCTTCGTCGAAATCAGTGGAATATAATTCATGAAGCTAAGACAGTTTTTTGACTTTTCTAATTGACTTTATTTAAATAGATATAAATAATGTTGTTGTTAATAATGAATACGAAGATGTTCAAGATGATAATGATTTCGACAATTGTCAAATTGATAATGTTATTAATGATGAATCAATTGATATTGAAATGAATATGAATGTGAAGATAGCAACATTTATTTGCAGTTCTCAGTTGGATAAATCAAACGCTAATCAATTGATAAAGTTATTAAATCACGTACATGATCAAGAAACACCACCACCATTGTCTTTAGTTTCATTATGGAACCAGTTGAAAGTTAAATTTAACTATACAACAAAAAAATATTGTTCAAATTGTATGTTAGAACTCATTAAATGTACATGTAATAATACAAATTGCGTGCTTAATTCAGAATTGATTATTTTCTCCATTACTGAAGAAATCACTCGAGTGGTGAAAAATAACTATGATTTAATTTTGAAATATCGACTTGAACAACACAAAAACAAAGATGATATTGTACAAGGTACTTTTCATTGTTTTATTCTCTCAAGAAATGGTTGTTTTTAATTGCAGACATCTTTTTACAATTGACAATCGAGTAACAGGAAGGAAAAAAATAAATATGGTTTTATTCCTTTTCGAAGAAAAATTTTATTGCCTTTATTTTGTTTTGAGTACATCTTTTCTTATAAGAATAAAGAGAGGATAGTGAGACATGGTCAAAATCAAATTTTTCTGATTGTATCGGAATCCTCAGTTTCTTTTAGAAACTCCATAGAAATCACTTATTTTTGGCCATTATATAGTGAGTGATACAGACATTAATTAAATTACAAAGTAAATTAACTTGCAGCTTTTACATCAACCGAGTTGATTTGTAAAAGGAATGTAGGAAAAAAAATGATGATTTTTAATAGGGATTTTCGAACCTTTTTAGGTGAAATTTACAGAAATCAGTCTAGTAGAAGTCAAAATCCTTTAACACTGCTGCTTTACAGCGATGGCAAGCCAACGGTAAAATCAAGTAAATGTTCAATTTGGCCTGTATATTTCTCAGTGCTTGTTTAACTGCATCTCCTTCATTTGCATATTTGTTTTAATGTAGGTGTTGGCAACCATCGTTGAAATTCCTAGACCATTTCGAGAAGATGAAACTAACTTGATTTTATTATGTTTATGGCACTCCCCTAGTGGGCCATCAGCTAATCAATTATTTGGTGAAATAACAGAAGAACTTCGTCGTCTTGTTACACATGGTATTGATATTACATTTGATCATTCAGGTACGAAATTCGTTCGAAAAAAAATATTTGCTCGTAAATTGTTTGCAGCCATTTTCTAATGCTGTTTTTCCTTATAATATCGTTAAGTTTGGCTTTTCTATGCATCTGCCTAAAAAACTTCGAATGTTTATTGCTCTCGTATAAAATAATATAAGTCACGGTATATAGAATGAATCGTTTCGTAAATTAAATAGTTCATACAGTATTCATTTGATCGATAGCAAGACATTGTATATTTTTGATTATATTTATTTAGGTTTGATCCATTTTGATATATTCATACAAGGAATTTGCGCCGATGGACCCGGACAGTCGAAGGTTACGTCGATGGTGTCACATAATGGATATTATGGCTGTAGGGTTTGCGAAATGAAGGGAATCTATATTGCCACCGATAACACATGCACATATCCATGGTCGTCATTTATACGTACAAATCCAAGATTTCGAACTAGAGATCGATTTGAAATGTGTTTAGAAGAAGTTAATCGTCTGAAATCCATGGGTAAAAAAAAATTAATATTGTTGGCATTAAAGATGTGTCACCGCTCAATTATTTGATTTTCATTCCATGTCAAACATTATACGATTATTTTCATTTGTGTTTGGAAGTAAGTTCACTTTAGTTTTAAATAGTTTTAGCAAACCATTGCAGTATCTGACATAAATAAAATTTAACTTTGAAAATCTGAAAAAAGCAAACAAATAGACAATGAAATATAACTGTTGTTATCTATGTATTCTGAATATGCACCCAGTACTATTGAAGTCTATCAGGCGATTAGAAATTGTACAATTTGGCAATCTATTGAATCAAAATTCAAATGAAAAATACAGAGAACAATTTTACGGTTGATATCATGTGACAATTGATCTTTCTAAACTACTAATATAATAACATTTAGGATTTTCACTTGTTTATTCGCAAGATTGTCTTCGAGAAACATTTCCTAATGCCAATAGAGAAAAATGAGGCTACTCTTTTCATAGGAATGCGAGAATAACCATGGACATTTGTTTCGAAATATTTGGAATTTATTTACATACCAAAATAGCACTCTTTTTGCTTATAAAAAAATTTTGAAAATGGTTTTGAAAATATCTTTTGATGCTTCTACTTAAGAAATCTTACTGAAAATCTTTTCCACGTAATTCGCCTGATTTTTTAAGTAAAAAAGTATTTTTCAACAGAAAACATATCAATAAGAGTTTAGCGTCAGAATTTTTAAGGATATACTGTAGGCATTATAAAATAAAACAAAGACAATAGTTATAAGCAGTAGTGGATTGATTTCAATGAAAACTATTGCCTCTAAAAGAGAGATTTGAACAGCAAAACACATCAGAGAACAAAAAAATATTCATTGTATAATTATATTATCCATATGCTGAATTTTTTCATGTTAGGGGCATACAACAGCTTTGCTCAAAGAATGGAATGAACTTCACAGTGGTACAAGTGCTCAAACATGTCAGATAATAAATGCATTTGATGAATTTTTATCACATATAAATTATCCGCATTCCATCCATCGCCGAGTAAAATGTTTTCGCAAATTCAATGATTGGAAGGCTAGTGAATTGCGTTTATTTTTGCTTTACTTAGCCTTACCATTTTTATTATATTTTTCTTCTTATTTTCCTCCACTATTTGTGTATCATTTTTCATTGTATGCTATTTATGTTCGTACATTATGCAAATTCGATGAACGGCAACATGTTTATGATGTACGTCGATTTATAGAAAGTCATCTTCAAAGATTTTCTGAATTTTATAAGTCGAAAGAACTTTTATCTACACATTACAACGTACATCTTTGGCAACAAGTCATTCGCCATGGCTCGTTAAGTTCAACTAGGTATGATTAGCTCATTTACTATTTGTAATTAAAAAACTGTACTCGTTTGGTTAAGTTGAAGACAAGCGTTAAGTCATTTCTTAAAGGAATGATTGATTTTCACTTCTTGCTGTTAGAAATCTGAAGCAAGAAATATCAATATCTTTAGAGAAAAGTTAGTTAAGATCGAGCGTTGTATGTCAATTCAAAAGTTTCTTCATGTATTCGAAGGAAAAGCGTTGTCTTGGAAGTTTATAAGACTTTATCAAATTATGAGTGGTCCTTATTCATTCCTTGATAGATTTTTCATACTTAGTATCTCTTGTGTTCAAGACTCATCTATAGATGAATGACATTTATTTAACTAAAGTTATAAATTTGCAAACAGATATCTGTCATAATTCTTTTTGCAGTAGGTTTAGTACCGAGTCATGTTTACACGGTCTATATAAATTGTCTCACGGCACAAGAAATTTAGGTCAACAAATTGCTTATTGGTATACAATTCATCGTGCCATTCATTCGATGTCAATTGAAAATCAATTAAACATTGATGATCATGGACAATTTTTAGATGGCTACATTGATGAACACATTATTAAAAAATATTAAAAAAACTTTGATGAATCTTTTTCGTTTGTGTTCTCTTGTTCACCCGATGAGTCAGTTATTTTTCGTTCTCGATATAAAATCAGACTCATTGTATACCATTCCCTCTCTTACTCTTTTCGGAAACAGTCATGTAGTTTCAATGTTTGTTTTGATAATTGTTCTTGCCAACAACAAAAATGTTATGGGAAAATATTGTTTTTCTTTTCATATCGAGACAACTTCTACATGTTTCTGTCGTCCTATCTATACTCTTCATCTTACAATTTTTCATCGGCTATTCAGGTGGATAATCCTTTACCTATGTGGTCTGAACGTGTTGATAGCTTTTATTCACTTGTTAAAAAAGTTGATAATTTTTTAATTTTACCTTGTACAAATCTTCGTACGAAATGTTTCTTTTTTCCTTTTGTAGACGATCGTTTTATTGTTTGTACGCCTATTGATAATGAACTTGAACATGACTGAAATGAATTGAAATATCTTCACTTGTTTCATTACTTTTTTCTTCTAGATAATAATTTAGGCATTTTAGTTCATCATCATCATCATAAGTTATTTCGTTAAAAAGTAAGTTTTTAATTTCTTTCTAGTTTTCTTATGATTGATTCCTTTTAGTAAAATGTCAATACCAACTTACAGAAGCAGTGCTTCTCCAAGTATTACTACAGCAACACCTTTTTCACAACAGTCAAAATCATCACAATATCAACATTCATCTCAACATCAACATTCATCTCAACATCAATATTCATCTCAACAACACCATTCATCACAAAACCAGCATGCATCTCAACATCGAAATGTGTATTTACATTCATCAACAAGTAAAACAGGCAATTACTATGGGCCTATTTGTTCTTCTCCATCAATCACTAAGTACATTTTGTGTTGCGATAGAATTTTAAGAAGTTCTAGATTGTTTTAAAGCTATACTATTAAAGAATTTGCATGTGTGTTTCCTTTACATTATGTTCTTTTTAAAATTTATAGATCAACAACGTATGATTACTTCTCATAATCAAAACCGATCATCACCATATACTATTCATTCACCACGTACTATTCGTCGTCAAAGTAATGCATATTATATTTTATTGTTACAATGAAATTTTTGTTTTGATATATTGCAGTTAATGTAGCATCGGCTGATGTTGATACACAATCGAATGTTATTGAAAATGAGAATATTGAACCTGATCAATTTATTATGATCCATAAAAGTGTACTGGATAGTCTTGTTGAAAAACAGACGACGTTAGAAAATAGCATGAAAAATTTAGACAGGAAAACGGATGAAATTTTGAAATATGCTCGTCGATCTGCCAGGAAAGATCAGGTAAAATTTTATATCCGCATATTTCTATAACTTATAGAGAATAGTTGTCAAATACAGACAACATAGTATCTTTTACATGATTTCAGAATAACGTTTTTAAATATATTTCAGGAAATTACAACAACAAAACCAAAATCGACACTTGCTCCAATTGTAAGTATTATTTCTTTTGTTTCTTTTATGAAAGAATTTTTATTTAAGCTATGGAAAAACGAAAATTTATTGACAAAACCTCGAACTGCTTTACCTACTACATACTTGTGCCACGTGGTGAGGAAAATGTATACTGCTGAAGAAATCAAGAACAAAATACCACAATTACCACCACAGAAGAACGACATTCGACCAGAAAAAATAAAAGGTATTTATTTTTTATTTAATGAAATAGAGTAAGCTAAGACGAATTCCTGAAATAACCAATTTTCATATTTCTTATCCTCGAGATATGAAACATCAAGTTTTCATAAATTAATAGAAATAGATTTTTACTAGTTTTTATAATTAGTAATCAAATATCTCTTCAGAACAACGAGTAGCTCTACATGTACGGTATTCAAAACCTTGTCGTCTTGATTGATAACCATGACAACCTTCAAACGACACCTTAGATGGTAAAAATTCGAAATTCTATCTTGATCTTGAGTCTCTACATCGATTTGAACGATGAGCTCTGTGAAAGTGTGGTTAAGTAGCTCCAAACAATGTCTTTAAATAAGGGAATATCATAATTCAATGATTAGGTAGCTGTTCGTCTTTTGCAAATCGCGCCAAAAAAATGTATTCGAAAGCTGACGCCGACGATTTCGGAAAATTTGAAGTTCATTATACTTTAGTATTTGCAGAAAAATGTTTAAATGATAGAGAGGAAGAGAAACTATATTTATCTTTAGTTTTATACTATCATTGACTAATAAAAGAAGTTTGTAATTTCTTCACTGTTTAAAAACTCCTCTTGGAAAGAGATTATATAAATTTACATATTTTGTTTTCTATCAAATGTTCATTTATTAAAGAATGCCTTGTTGCACTTTATTTCTCACATAATCCATCAATATATGATGATTTCATTGGCGGCAGAGGACACGACAGTCTCTATGGTCAAGAACGTACTAAAAAAAGTCGAGATAAGTAAGTTAAAAATAATCAATCCTTTTAACAAAATTTTCTTGCATAAAATTTCATTTGTGTTTCAGTAAGAAATTGAAAGAAGCAGCATCCAACAATAGCAATACGTCAAACAACACCAATGCATCAAACAACAACAATTCATCAAACAACAACAATTCATCAAGCAACAACTATGTATTAAACAATAATGCATCAAATAATAACAATACATCAAACAACATCATTGACGATTTTGACAATGTCGATCTTCATTCTGATGAAGAAACATTTGATGATTAAGAAGGTAAAATTTTCAGATATAACAGATACTTTTGTTCTATATGGTAGGGGTGAGAATTTTATTGTTATTAATAACAATAACATTTTGATTTAAAAAAATCAATGAAAAAAATAGTCTGTACAAAGATCAAACAATCACTTTATTCATACAGTATCTTACCATTTGATA